GACACAGGGGCTTGGAGCAAGCTGCTCCAGTGGAAGGGGTCCCTGCCTGTGGCAGGGTTGGAGCTGGAGGAGCATGAAGTGCTTTAACCAGATTTAATATTTGAATTAGGAATACTCTGCAGGTGCTGTTTAAAAGCGAGATCAGATGGAACAGGGCAGAGGACGTCAGTACAACGTGCTGAAGGAGGCTGCCTCTTCACCTCAGACCTCAGTGTACTGACAAAGAGAATGTGCCACCTAACTGTCACCAACTCTGATTTTTAATTCCCGTAATTCAAAGCTATGGTTTCAGTTCTGAATTTAATCTTTTGGTTGTTTTTTTTTTCCGGACTGGCTATTTTGGGCTGTTCCAGCTGACCATATCCTGAAGCATGCCCATAAAACTTCCACAGGTAGAAGCTGCAGTCTAATCGAGTAAAGTCTCATTCCTCAGAAGGGGATTCTGAGATCACAGAATCCCAGACTGGTTTAGGTTGGAAGGGACCTTAAAGCTCATCAAGTCCCAACCCCTGCCACGGGCAGGGACCCCTTCCACTGGAGCAGCTTGCTCCAAGCCCCTGTGTCCAACCTGGCCTTGAACACTGCCAGGGATGGGGCAGCCACAGCTTCTCTGGGCACCCTGTGCCAGCGCCTCAGCACCCTCACAGGGAAGAGCTTCTGCCTAAGAGCTCAGCTCAGTCTCCCCTCGGGCAGGTTCAAGCCATTCCCCTTGGCCTGTCCCTACAGGCCCTTGTCCCAAGCCCCTCTCCAGGTTTCCTGCAGCCCCTTTAGGCACTGGAGCTGCTCTAAGGTCTCCCCTTCAGGAGCCTTCTCTTCTCCAGGCTGAACCAGCCCGAATTAAAACTGTGCTGTGACATTCCAGAGTGTTTGCAATACTAAACATGCACATCATTTATCTAGCAAGGTTTTGCTGTGTACAGACTTTCGGAAGGCGCTCTCAGGTGTTCACCCTTGATTTGCTCGGTTTGCATTTCCACTCTGAAGAAAGATCAGAGAACAATTGCTGATGTTTCTAAGTGAGCAAATATGCAGAATATGTGCTAAAACATGCTGAAAGAGTCCAAGCTGTTGCCTCCCACGGTGCTGAACAATTCACTGTATTACAAAAGCAGGGATGTTTAGTGCAGAGGCAGACCTGATGGAGGGGGTATGCTCTGGCCAAAGGTCTGATGGGTTGAGATCCATAAGATGCCATGATTTTTCACCAGTGTCTTTGCTGCCTTCGCTCTACCCAAAAGGACCCCCTGAGCAGCCGTTGCCTGTGTGCATACCCCTGCAGGCTGAATGAGGCAAGATCATTTGTTTCCAGAGCATACCCTGAACTTGTGTAATGTTCCTGTGAACCTGAAGCCTGCTTTGCTTTCCAGCACTGTAGTATTCACAGAGCGCTTTCTGAGAAGTAAAAAGCTCTTCAGCACTGCGAGCGCTGCCTACTTGGCTAATGAATATGCAGTACTTGCAAATGAGTAGTGATTTCCTTTGAATTAATGGGATGGAGAAAGCCAGTACATTGGTAAAACATGCAAAAGATGCCAGAGAAATAAGAACCATCTTTCTGCAGGTACCCGAAGTTACGACAGGAAGGGAAGGTAGAAACACAACTCTCTTCATTTTCTCTCTCACAAAGTGGTTTTACTTCTCTCCAAAGACCTGCCAGATATTGCCCCTGTTAATCAAGCCTCCTGTGACACTGCACTTGCCCACAGTTCCTCTTCTCCTGTTTTTGTCTTTGAAACACCTCCAGGGGTAAGGATGGGAGCTAACCTGGTTCAAACATGTACCAAGCACAAAATGACCCCGCGTTTCTGTGATAGGAACAGTAATTTTAGGGTATACAGAGTATCATGATGATTTTAGAGGAAATCTATTCATGTTCTTCATAATTATGGCAAAGACTGTGATTATCTTTCTCTTGGGTAAAACATCAGGGACTGGGTCTACCTTTCAGTGAAGGGCTTTCAGTTGGAAGCTGATATAAAACACTAGAGAAGAGCAGTCTATGCAATTAATCTTGATGTGAGCTGTCAATTCTGCTGAAGCAAAATGCCAGCAGGACTGCCTGGCACTGTGGAACAGTGCTTTTGGGAGGATGTTCAAATAGCTCCTTCTAAGAGAAGCAAAGGGAGTGTGCTTCAGAACCGGTATCACAGGGTCTGAAGAACATTGAACCAGCTTTCAGCCAGCAGCTGTAGGTGGGTTCAGAGGAGCAGTAACTGATCCAGGCAGATGCTCAGAGGCTGCTGCTTCTGTTTCCATGGGAACAGAGGCTGGCTCCTTGCAGAAGGCCAGGTGATTGCAGAGTTTAAATTGGCACAATTGTGGACCATTTGAAAGCCCCCAACATTCTCACATTGAAATTCAGTGGCCATGTGTATGGGAATGGAGGCGCAGCAAACCAGCTGCAGGGTTTGTCTAGTTGAGCAGAGGCTTTCCTCTGGAAGTGGTTTCATTGCTGCTGGTGTCTCTAGGCTTTAGGACTCAGTTAGACACCAGCGGCTGGGGTGTTTTAGTTTGGAACACAGCTGTACTACAGCAAGCATTGTGAAGCCCCAGCTCCTAGATGTAACTGTTACAGAGGCTTTGAAGTACTCTACATGTGCCTTCTGTTCTCCATTTCCATCTCACAATGATCCAAGGGACCACAAAAAAACCTGAGGAGGTTTGAAAAATACAACCACCATAGTACCTGAATTAACTGCATTCAGATGAATCTCCTTATGTACTGCCTTAATGCTTTTCATAGACTCCCTCATCCTGTTTCTGTGTAGACACAAAGGTTTACTGACTACTTCCCAAAATCAGAAGCATGGACTGTGAAGGATGTTTTGCTTGAAGCCCTGGATGCGCACAACCCTGCTTGTAGATGCTGGTTTTGTATTTTAACTTCTGTCAGGTCCAAACCTGCCACCCAAATCCCCAGTAAAAAGCTTTGTGCAAAGCAGTGTATAGTTAATAAAAAGAACATTAAAATTCCATTCAGATGCGCATCAAAGTTCTAACATGATTTTTACAAAAACAATAGACTTTTCATCACTTTCCACTACAGAACAGATTCAAATGGTGCATTCTCCTGCCAAACAATATGATTATTGGAATAAACCATCAATAAACCACCTGGAGACTGATTCTTGGCCTTACGAGAGAGCAGACCTGATTTGTGACCTTTCAGAGCAGCAGTGGGAAGGGAGCTGCAGTGGCTGTTGGGGAGCACGTTCCACTTCGGGTGTCACTGACACCTCTGAACTTCTGAGTGGACACAAAGCTTAGGTGAAAAGCCATGTTAATACGGGGAGGAAAGGGAGGTGAAAGGCCCTGAAGGTTTCTGAAGCATCCAGCCTGGCAATAACCAAACAAACAAGTGGGTGATCACTTCTCATTGCCACCTTCATCCCACACCCTACAATGCTGCAATCTAAACCTCTCGCCCACTGGAAATACTCCTGCCTGGCACAGAAGTATCACTATAACTGTACTGTAGGGGGAAACTTCATGAAGTTCAGGGTGGATTCAGCAGAGGCATTCCATCACTTAGCAGCCACGGTTCATTGGGTCTGCTCCCATTCTCTGTGCCCTGCACAGCTTCCACAGCCTTTCCAGCCTTCCCACAACGCAGGCCACTCACAGCGAAATGTGAACCCAACCACGAGACCCGAGAACTGAACACTGTGCTGTCCTGTTGCTATTCAGAGGATGGTCTTAGGAAGATTTCTTCTCCAAGTGCAGCGTTCCTCATGACAGCTTTACAGAAGACTCACAAGACTCTCCTGACACATCTGGTTGGGAAAGGGACAGAGATGAATTCCTAGGTCAGTCAGGAGGCTGGTGTATCTTCTAAGGCAGATAGCTCTTGGGAACTGCTGTTTCTGGGTGCTATTTCAAACTCTGCTAAACGATTCAAGCTTAAAACAAGTAACTGCATGCTACGAACCAGCCGTTGCAGCAGAGCAGCTCAGCACAAACCCAGTAAATGCCCACTGCAAGACATTTAGGTATGATTTGGTGCTTCGGTTTATGGGAGGAAAGGCAAATAATCCTATCCCAGTTTTCCTGAACCCAGTCATGGCCAGTGCAGTGGGAAGGTGCACTGCAGCCAAGGCTCTGCAGAGAGCTATTTACCAAGCAGAGGTGGGGAAATGAGCACATAGGGTTATGGATTCTGTGTGCTCCTCGCACCTTGGAGGCTGTGAAGCACCAACCCCATCCCAAGCCTGCGCTCTCGCACTGATGTGCTTGCCCTGACTGTTTGATGCAGGTTTCGGTTTCTTCAGCTGCAAAACTGAGGCATTTTCCTCCCTTTCCCAGAGCCCTGCAGAGCCTGACTGCCCCTGCAAGGCACAGCCCCCTCTGTGCATAACCCAGCCATGCTGGTGACACCTCCAAAGCAAGCATCTGCCCAACAGCTCTGCTCCACCAGAGCCAGGGCTGGGCCCACACCAGCTGATGCCTGACGGCTCATCAGAACACCTGAAGTAGGAGCATGGCTTAGGCTCTCCTCCAGGCAGCAGCAGGAGATGAACTCCCCCGCAGCACAAAGCTGGTGGCATGTGAGAGGCTGCTCCCAAGGGAGGCGACTGTCCTGGCTGGGACAGGCACAGAGCCTGGTGTCAGAGCCCACCAAGTAACTGGCTTCTGGTTGGAGGCCAAACTACAAATAATGGGAAAGCAGGATATGGTTTTGGAGGGCCCGAGTGCCCTCTGGGCGTTGTTGTGAGACCCAACAGGAGCAAAGCTAAGGAAACAGCTCAGATTGGGAAATAGTGAAAGGAAACACTCAGTTTTAGACAGACTGAGATAAAATACTCTTCAAAAGGCTCTTTTTCTGCTTACAGATCAGGTGTTACGAGCAGTGCCCAGGCCCTCAGAATACACGTTTCGGGGAATATTCCCTGTGGAAGGAAGCATCACTCCTCCCTCAGCACCCTCCGCAAGGGAATCCTCACGTTTCTCCTGCTCCCCCTCTCATGCAATGATGCTTTTTTTCCTGCTGCTTATGACAACCAAAGCAATTTCACACCTCCCTTCTGCCCTCTGCACTCCTCGTATGCCCTCTCAAAGTCTCTGTGTGCTCCCTGCCTTCTTCAGACCACAAGGAAAGAAACTCTAACACACAGCTACCGATTGCTCATGGAGGGACCACTGGTACCCGGACAATGTCTGTGAAGCATCACTTCAGGGCCCGGTGTCAATAAACTCAGCTCTCTCATCGCAATTCTTTTCTCAAGAGTTTGGATTTCACTTCTAAATTTCCTATCTCCTGGTTATTCACAGCAGCATTTACATGAGGGCATGCAAATCAGAATGTTCTCTATATAGACATACAGGTATCTAAAAGCGTGCAGACACCTGCACACTTCAGTGTTCTTAATTTAACCAGCCTTGAAAAGCCTTTTCAGTTGCAGAAATGCAATATCAAGCTACACTTGCCGTGTGCAAACACATGGGCCCCTCCAACCCCAGGAGAAACATGGCTCATGGGCTTCTTTTACATCATTTTCTTTGTCAGACCACAGCATTCTGTGACAGCTTGGCACTCATTTCCTCCACAGCTTATCTCTTTGTATTGTGCTGGTTTCCTTTGCATTTCAATTGCTCTGTCTCCTGTAGCTCATCAAATCATAGAGCTGAATTTTACCTCTTTGGTTTTTAGCTTGCGAGCCTCTCGCATGCACACAAGGCACGGAGCAGCCTGACATCACTTGACATCTCCCTGCTTCCTCATTTCAATATGAACTGTTTACCAGCAGAGAAACAGGTTTGGGGTTAGGGTGCTGAGCGCGTGCATGACTCTCTGTGTGAGCCACGGCTTTTATCCCCTCTGTCCCATCCCAGCCATAGGTCATCACGTGGAGCTGCCTGAAACTGCCCAATGCTGTTTTCACCAGCCTGATTTCAGAAGAGCCAGGTCTGTGGATGTGGATGTGCTTCACTCTCTGCTTTGGCTGGGGGAAAGCAACAGGGCTCGGAGCTGTGGCTGCTGTGGCTCTCACCCACGAGAGAACTCCCTGAAGGATTCCTCGCCCTCCACAGAGCGGTAATAATGACACAGCTGCAGTTTAAAGATGCATTTTGGGTGAGTATTTCCTACATTCAATGTATCTGCGTTTAAAAGTCTCTTAAAATACCGCTTGGCTCTATACATAGCTCAAAACTAATTTAATCCTGTTCTGTGCTTTACATTTAGTTTAGTAACAGCCCAGATTTGACTCCAAGTGCAAACCTACTTGTTTGGTAGTACAAGTGCTAGGTCCTCAGCAGAAGGCTGCGTTGTAAGAACACATCCAGCCCACATAAACCAACCAGCACTGCCGGTTCCTGTGCTAGGTCCAGGAGCTGCCTGTGAAAGGGTTTGTGTGTCTCCTAGGACTGTGTCCCCACTCCAGGAGTGTCTCCCAGCGCATGAACTGTTACTAGTGACAGGCTGGATTTGCTCATGCTTGCTGCTCTGGCTGCGTGCAGCCCGTGCCTGCTTCTAGGTGCAGGAGGGCACACATGGGGTGCGGAGGTGCCCAGGGCTCAAACAGAGCACCCGGAGGAAGAGCCAGCAGTGACACTCAAGAATCAAGCCCAACACTCCCTTAAAACCAGTGGATACTAAACCATGCAGATAGACTCTGTTCTTGTCTGACTTCTGGTTGAAGAACATTCTTGTGTCTTGTTTTCAAGCTCCTTCTCTGCAGTTACAAGGTAAAAAGGCCCTCATCCTTTTTCTCTCCAGGGCAACCTTAAGTTTCTTGCAATTGCCTCTGGTGTGGGGGTTTTAAGGAACAAAGCAGCAGCGTCAACAAGTTCTAACATTGCAGAGTTGGGTAAACAGGATGTTTCGTGGTTGCCCCTTCTCTGAGCAGTCATTTTCCAGCATCTAGGACTGACTTAGAGAAAGACGTGAAGGCTTATGAATTCTTCCTGCCATTTCCCTATCAGGCCGAGTAGAACAGTCCCTTTACAGTGTGTTCGCTGCTTGTGTTACCTTTCTATCCACCCACCCCTCAGGGTAAACCCTCTCTTGGTGCAAACCAGCAGGGCAGAAGCAGAAACACATTTTGGTGACCCCCCTTCCTCCCAGCACCTCCAGGAAGCCCTCCCCACCCCCAGCACTACATTTGAGCAGTTACATCAAATGCAATGAGGAAATACATGAGTTCATTTTGATGTTAACCCTCACCGCACCCAACCACATCCACACGACATGCTCTGTGCCTCCTCTGCCACACAGCTACTGCCTGCACAGTGCAGAGCACGGGGCAGGATGGGACCACAAGCCAGTGCTACCCCAGGAGCTGCAGCTCTGGCATTCCTGAACTGCCTTTGGGAATGTGCCATCTGCCCCTTAGAACTGCCACGTTCGGTGTATTTACTTTCAAGACCTTGGACTTGAGTGAGAATAAATCAGTGAGGCTCCAGTGAGGTGTCCTGCAGGGGACAGAGGAGCAGGGTTTGGGTGATGAGCACCAGTTGGCAATCTGGCCAGGCCAGTTCTTTCTGGCTCTTCTTCCCTCACCTTCTCTCCTGTGCTTAGTCATGTTACCATGACTATAATCCTTGCTTAGCTTTGAAGCTAACACCTTCCTGAAAGGAAAGCATCTTTGTCTTTGATATTGTTTGGCTGAGAGCATTGTCTCACCAAGCTCAATTAAGAGGGCAGGAATATATCCGGTTGAGGATGGCAGTTTTAGCTCTGCAGTAATAAGTCTTTTAAAATGAAAACTCACAGGATATTGCACAGTGTGGCAGAGGCACGCAGCTTGCCCCCCAAATCACAAGATCAGCAATTATTTTTGCATTCAAAAGGCTCTGTCATGCCCATTAACTGAGATGGAAATGTATTTGCATGGTTTGCTTCAGTGAGCAGTTATCTCCTGGATTTGATTTGTACCATGAATGGAAACTGTCTTTATCATTAAAACCCAAAAAGCATATTTGCACCACAGCAGATTGCTCAGTACAGATCCCTGATCTCTAAGACCTGTCTGAGGACACTGCTGCACCCTCGCTGTCATTCCTCCTGATAAGGTACACCAGTGCAAGAACTCCCTGCTCTCACCATCGCTGAACTTGTGCATAGGAGGAAGTTTCTTTGGCATCTCTAGCAATATGAAATACATAAAGAAACCCTAAAAGCTGCAGATCTTCCCAACTAGCAGAGAAAGGGACCCGTTCATTCCTCCCCAAAGGCCCTCAAGCTTCCTAAGAACAGGGTGTGCTGTGTTCCAGGAAAATGCAAATTGTTCCTCATAATAGCTGTAAGTTTTAATCTCTCTTTTCCCCTATTATGTGTAGCCATGACTTAATCATAGTCCTATACCACAGCTTTCACACTTGCTTTGGAGAATGGCCTGGGCTCAAACTACTATATTTCTTCCTTTCAATTTGGTTTTGTACCCTCCACACACCCTGTGATGGTTTAAGTCAAACTTGCTCAAAGCCTCCACCAAACTGTGCCTCTCAAAGTGTCCTCTGTTAACAGCTTTTGGAAAACATTAGTGAGATGGAAACACAAATCAGTTTTTATAGCTGGTGCAGGGCAGTTGCTAATGGATTCATACTCTGCTGGGCTGCTATACAAATGTAACAGATGTTACCTGTCTTCTCCAGCATCACATCAGCCAGGTAGACACATTCCCATGTTAATGGGGAGAACGTCTGCTGAGTTTCATGTTAACAGGGTTATGTTGATAGTCAGAGAGCTGAGCAAAACCCGCTAACCAAGAAAGTCTTTCTCCTTGTCACAAAGATTGAGTCTCCCTCTTATTCTGTGTTCCTGCACTTATCATTGCTTTTCCTCTGAAATTCTTGTCACTGCCTTTTCCTTCTGTTCTATTTCTTCTACTGTGCTTTTCTCCAACATGCTGCTTAGCACTCCAGCTGCAACCCTGTGAAATGCAGCTATTTCTACCCAAGGGGAAGGCAGGTGCTTAGTGGCCTCACTCACTCAGGAAGGGGGAATGAGGAAGACCTCCGAAGGAGGTGTTTGGTTTTGGGGCAGGCTCCAAAGTGCCCAGAGTTGAATGAGAGCAAGTCTGTTCCCTTGGGCAGCTTTGAATCAAACTCCAGTGGCCAAGTCAGTTCTGGAAATTGGCTCCTAAGGTGCCTGGGATTAGGTGTGTGAAGTGCTCTCTGTTCTCAGCTCTGGGATGAGCTCAGGGCTTGTGCACTCTCACGGCTTTCTTTTGAAAGAACAATTAAGCTGGAGATAATGGGCCAGCAAACATGATGAACATGAGATAGCAAGATGTGCCTCCCTGCGCTGCTCTGGACTTCTTACCACCTTCCTGCCAGTGCAGTACCTGTGGTCAGATCCTACAGCAGTGGGAGATACAGAAGTGCTGGAGATAAAGAACCTGTTACAAAGATGCTTGCTTCACCTTTCTCGTTTTGACTCCAGGCTATATTCTACATCAGGTTCAATGCAAAGTTGAGTTTGCAAGTGAACCTCTCAACTGTTACTGTAGCTTTTTCACACAACAGTCTATTATACATGCCAGGAAAAGATGTAATTATTTTCAGAAATAATTTAACTTCTAATGAGACTCTTAACTGTGGAATAAGAGTGCAGAGATGATGGTAAAAGTCACAGTAAAACTATTTTATAGACCTACTAGGTGATGTACTGGAGAAATATAATGTCAACTGGTTTGCTCAGAAAACAAAGTCTTTTTTATACCAGGAGCTGCCTTCCTGTAGAGGTTAAGTTTCACAGGGCCCCTTCTTCCAAAGCAGGAGGAAGTAAGAAAGGGCAGGTTTGGTGGGAGGGAGGAAGAGGGGCTAATGAGGGCTCCTGCCAGCCCCTGGCACCCAAAGCAGGGCTGGGATCAGGCAGGGAAGGATGTGGCTGCCAAAACTTTCACCCTGGCACCTCAGCTTTGCAAGCGGTTCTGCACCAAAATCCAAGTGAATGGGACTGCATCAGTTGCATCTGTATCTACTGACACCAGGCACATTAAAACAAACAATCTCAGTGCTCACTGGCACAGAGGCAGGCCAGGATCTGCTGTCAGTACATACTGCATCCCCTGAAGTCAGGATCTGCTGTCAGTACATACCGCATCCCCTGAAGTCAGGATCTGCTGTCAGTACATACTGCATCCCCTGAAGTCAGGATCTGCTGTCAGTACATACTGCATCCCCTGAAGTCAGGATCTGCTGTCAGTACATACTGTATCCCCTGAAGTCAGGATCTGCTGTCAGTACATACTGCATCCCCTGAAGTCAGGATCTGCTGTCAGTACATACTGCATCCCCTGAAGTCAGGATCTGCTGTCAGTACATACTGCATCCCCTGAAGTCAGGATCTGCTGTCAGTACATACTGCATCCCCTGAAGTCAGGATCTGCTGTCAGTACATACTGCATCCCCTGAAGTCAGGATCTGCTGTCAGTACATACTGCATCCCCTGAAGTCAGGATCTGCTGTCAGTACATACTGTATCCCCTGAAGTCAGGATCTGCTGTCAGTACATACTGTATCCCCTGAAGTCAGGATCTGCTGTCAGTACATACTGCATCCCCTGAAGTCAGGATCTGCTGTCAGTACATACTGCATCCCCTGAAATCAGGATCTGCTGTCAGTACATACTGCATCCCCTGAAGTCAGGATCTGTTGTCAGTACATACTGTATCCCCTGAAGTCAGGATCTGTTGTCAGTACATACTGCATCCCCTGAAGTCAGGATCTGCTGTCAGTACATACTGTATCCCCTGAAGTCAGGATCTATTGTCAGTACATACTGCATCCCCTGAAGTCAGGATCTGCTGTCAGTTCATACTGTATCCCCTGAAGTCAGGATCTGCTGTCAGTACATACTGCATCCCCTGAAGTCAGGATCTGCTGTCAGTACATACTGTATCCCCTGAAGTCAGGATCTGCTGTCAGTACATACTGCATCCCCTGAAGTCAGGATCTGCTGTCAGTACATACCGCATCCCCTGAAGTCAGGATCTATTGTCAGTACATACTGCATCCCCTGAAGTCAGGATCTGCTGTCAGTTCATACTGTATCCCCTGAAGTCAGGATCTGCTGTCAGTACATACTGCATCCCCTGAAGTCAGGATCTGCTGTCAGTACATACTGTA